TTAGGATTTAGGGTTTAGGGCTTTAGGTAAAGGATTTAGGTTTTAGGGTTTTGGTTTTAGTTTAGGGTTTAGGTTTCAGGTTGAGGGTTCTAGGTTTTTGGGGCTTATAGAGTTTAGGGTTGAGGGTTAAGGGTTTAGGTAAGGGATTTAGGGTTTTGGTTTTAGTTTTGGGTTTAGGGCTTGAGGGTTTTAGGTTTTAGGGCTTATAAGGTTTAGGGTTGAGGGTTAAGGGTTTAGGGTTTTGGTTTTAGTTGAGGGTTTTAGGTTTAGGATTTAGGGTTTTGGTTTTAGGGTATAGGGTTTAGGTCTCAGGTTTAGGGTTGAGGGTTAAGGGTTGAGGTTCAGGGTTTAGGGATTAGGGTTTAGGGGTTGAGGTTTTAGGGTTTAGGGTTTAGGTTTTAGGGGTTGAGGCTTTAGGGTTGATGGTTCAGGGTTCAGGGTTTAGGGTTTAGGGGTTTAGGGGTTTGGGGGTTTTTAGGGTTGAGGGTTTAGGGTTTACGGTTTAGGGTTTAGGGTTTAGGGGCTTAGGATTGAGGGTTGAGGCTTTAAGGTTCAGGGTTTAGGGTTGAGGGTTCAGGATTTAGGGTGTTTTGGCCTGAGATTTTTGGAGATGTTAAAAAAGGGTTTCGGGAATGAGGTTTATAGAGTTCCGGGTTTTCGAGACAGCCCTGGGAGGGGGGCGGGGGTGGGGGTGGTGGGCGGCGGGTTGGGCGGGCGGGAGTAGGTATACAGACACATGTATGCATGCAGCCTTGTTTTTATAGGCCTGCATGCATGCATGACACACGTATACGTGTTTGTCAATCGTTAACCTGCATCTAAACATTCACAGACATTGCAGATACGTAATCAGTAATATGCACAACTATACGCAGGTATTTGTTGGGGTTGTCTCTCATCTGCCCTTGTGATGCCTCTCGTGTGCGGTAGGCTGGTCTTCCACCGCACTGCTCATCTCGGACGTCACGGTCTTGATGTGGTGGCTGGTGAGGTGTTGCTTCTTGGCGTGGCATATAGTATGCATTGAGCCAGCTATGGTCTAAGATTTAAGGTTCATAGTCATACAAACGCTAATATTAATACGAATTATTAATACGAATCTTATCAGGAATACTACTAATGGTACTAATACTAAGACCAATACTTACACTAGTATTAGTACTGATACTAAGACTAATACTAATACCAATACTAATACTATTACAAAACTAGTACCAACAATATGAAATACTAAACAGTAAATATTGAAGACTGAATGGTAAAACTAAGATACGCACTATATTAGCACTAATACTCAAACTCATACTCATACAAATACTAATACTAATACTAATACTAATACCAATACTCACAGTAAGACTAGTCGGAAGAAGAAGAATCACAATTCCAGGTATCCACTGCAACTTGAGGTAAGCATGTACTTATCGATCTCAGGTCTGCTAAAGAGCTGCTGCAAATCTGGGAAAGTTCGGTGCCCGACTAGCCTCATAGCTGAAAAAGTGCGCTCCCGGATTTAGGGTTAAGGGGTTTAGGGATTTTGCGGTTTAGGCTTTAGGAATTTAGGGATTTAGGCTTTGGGTTTAGGGTTCAGGGTCTGAGGCAGAGTGAGCACTCAAGGGCTAAAGTCTGAAGTCCTCGCGACCTGGAGCTCGTGGACACTCTGGGCCGCATCGATGCAGCTTTGTCGGCGTGTGTACACATCATCGGCAAGCGGCCACGCTCGTGCTCCTTCCTTGGGCTCGCTAGCCGAAGAGTAGGTGTTGATGTGTTGCGTCCTTGGTTTACCACCCGACATGTGCAACAACACCATGCGTGGAAACTTATAGTTGCAGGTGACGGCAACGAGGAGTTTCAAGACACACGATCTAGCTACACTTGAGTGACCTGAGATAACACCCAGAGCAAGGAGCTGTGTGCCGTAAGCTCGCGTGAATTCTTCCACACAGGCGACGAGGGGCTCGATCCGACATCGGATTGTGAGGAAGAGACTAAGTGGAATTTAGATGACGCGCCTCTATTCAGTCGCATGGCCCGAAAAGCCATATAGCTGCAGAGCCCCACACGAGAGAGCCAGGCGTCAAAGTAGGCGGAACAGGACAACGCGGGCCAACCTCGAGCCAGATGGAGGCGCCAGACTGGACGGAGAGTGTGCAGGCGGAGCTCAGCACAGACATACATATACATGTACATGTACATATACATATACATATACATATACATATACATATACATATACATATACATATACATATACATATACATATACATATACATACAAAGTTACATGTGTATATATATATATATATTATAGACATCTCTGTACATTTATATACATGCATACGCACATACATACACACATACATGCACACATACTGCCATACATATATACATACATATATATATATACCGGTATATATATACACATGTACACATGCACATACCAAATTCATACATACATACATACATACATACATACATACATACATGCATACATACATACATACATCCATGCATACATACACACATACAAACAAACATACATACATACATACCTAC